CTGGCCAGGCAGGAGGTGTCAGTTCCATTCTGACCCCTACCCCGCATCTCACAACTGGGGTCACAAGTGGCAGGCTCGGGGCCGCTATGAGGAAGCCGAGCCGCTGTTCCGGCAGGGACTGGAGATCTGCCACGGCCTCAGGGAGCCTGTGGCGTAAGATCTGTGAGTCCTGCTCCATTCCTTGTGCAGTGAAGGTACGTAGTGTCTCATTGCGCTTGCAGGGTTGTGGTCTGTGCCACAGCACTGGCTGACATAACCACACGATGGTGGCAGGCGCATGTCCGACATAATATTCACAATGTAGCGGAAGAGCTTTGTTTTTTGGTTAATGCGGTTAATGTAGGTGAAAGAGAATACTGTCTCCATTCGGTGCCAGATGCAATCTGAATTTGTAGCCGGGGAACGCAAGATGTCTGCGACTCTTCGGACTCCTCCAGCCTCCTTTTCGGTCCGAGAAACGAGTTCTGGAGACTGCCTTTAAGGCTGCGTGTGGAGCTTGAAGTAGGTGAGCTGCCGGATCCTGGAGCTTGATTTGGTGGAATCCAGAGCATGTCGTGTGAATAGCTACGCCAACGGAGCGAGATCGACTAGGTTTGAAGGAGATCATGATGCTTTGAAGCGATGCAGTACGCATGACAAGAGAGAAGACCCCGAGGCAGTGCCAAGTTGGGTGAAGAGCATCCGCGAACGCTGAATTCGATGAACAACTTGGCTGGGCTGCTGCAGGCCCTGTTGTTGGGCTTTGCCCGAGCTTTAGACCGAAGGGTGCAATGGGTCCAATGGGTGAGGTCTTGAGAAGAGTGGTGGGCCAAAATGAAGCCCAACATTCCAAGCTTCTTAGTTCCAGAGCTGTGCGTACGGTTGGATCTGTGCACCCGGTCTGCACAAGTCCAACATTTGGAGCTTCTTCGTTCCATCTAGAAGTGTTCGTACGATTCGATCTGCCGCACACCCCGAGCCGCACAACTGGCACCAAGCTGCAGGCTCAAAGGCGCCATGACGAAGCCGAGCCGTTGTATCGACAGGCACTGGCAGGTCGCTGCCGCCTCAGTCGGCGAGAGGTGTCAGAGTACTGTCGGGTCTTTGAGTCATCGGCTTCCTGAGACGCGCGGCGAAGACAGTGAATTTCATGGGCTTGCGAATAGAAGTTGGATTGGCCGTGCTTCGGGGGTCTTGCAGGAGTTGCCTGCTGCGCTGCCAGCGTAGGAGGTTCTGGCATTTTTGAAGAGGCTTTCTTGATAGGGCACACCATGCCGGTTAGTTTGTTTAAGAAACACTTAGCACGGTAAAGGGGTGCGTTGTTGCGCCTTGTCCAGCCGGTGATGGAAGCAGCATGATGCGACCTAGCACCAAAACCAGGAGGGTTGGTTCTGCTAGTTGGATCGTTGTGTCGAAGCATGCCATTCCTTTCAGTTTTGGCAGCTGTGGGGACTGACGCAATGATTTGATTGCCCCGCCCGCGCCACCAGACTGTAAACTATTCTGTCTCCAGATGCAACTCGGAAAATGGTTAGTGTATCGAAGCATTAGACCAGGACTTCGTGGAGACCTGTAGGCACTGTAGGTAGGAAGCACACACATGCCCCGTTCAATCCCTCTGACCGCGGGGGCCGAGGCCGGGCGAAGCTTGGCGACTCCCACCCGGACACGATGAGCAGCATGTACGGCTTGGCCAGCTTGTTGAGGCTTATGGGCCAATTGGAGGAGGCAGAGCAGCTCTTCCGCGAAGGGCTCGAGAAGTGCGGCTCGGCCTTCACTGGGCACTGAGGGTCGCGTCAGTCGGGTCTTTGAGTCATCGGCTTCCTGAGACGCCCGGCGAAGACCGTGAATTTCATGGGCTTGCAAATAGAAGTTGGATTGGTCGTGCTTCGGGGGTCTTGCAGGAGTTGTGGTACGAGAACTTGGTTTCTTGTGGGCCATGCTGCGCTGCCAGCGCAGGATGTTCTGGCATTTTTGAAGAGGCTTTCTTGATAGGGCAGGTTAGTTTTGTTTGAGAAGCACTTAGCACGGTAAAGGGGTGCGTTGTTGCGACTTGTCCAGCCGGTGATGGAAGCAGCATGATGCGACCTTGCACCAAAACCAGGAGGGTTGGTTCTTCTAGTTGGATCGTTGTGTCGAAGCATGCCATTATTTTCAGTTTTGGCAGCTGTGGGGACTGACGCAATGATTTGATTGCCCCGCCCACCCCACCCGACTGTAACTATTCTGTCTCCAGATGCAACTCCGAAAATGGTTCATGTATTGAAGCATTAGACCAGGACTTCGTGGAGACCTGTAGGCACTGTAGGTAGGAAGTACACACATGCCCCGTTCAATCCCTCTGATCGCGGGGGCCGAGGCCGGGCGAGGCTTGGCGACTCCCACCCGGAGACGATGAACAGCATGCACAACTTGGCCTACTTGTTGACGCTGATGGGCCAGTTGGAGGAGGCAGAGCAGCTCTTCCGCGAAGAGCTCGAGACGTGCGGCTCGGCCTTCACTGGGCACTGAGGGTCGCGTTGCCTACGACGAAGTCGTGTCGGAGTTCAGCTCCATTTGTGGGGGTCGAGACAAGTCGCGACTTTCCGTTGTTCTCGCTCTTACCTGCTATTTTCACCCTGTACAGAAGCACTTTTCAGGTCGGTCTGTGCACGGCGCCCAACACGAGGAGACCGTTGGCTCGGCCATGGGCTTGGCCGAGTTCCTGAAGGACCCGGCTGAAGGCAGGTTCAGGCCACTGCATCCTCTCTACAGAGCATCCCTACAGATCCAATATGCATCCGTGAAGTAATGGTGGAGTGCAAAAGTAAGCTTTCGTTGCTCCAGGCTTGTCTTCGGCTACAGTGTTCTGCCGTGAGGTTCTGTAGTCTTCAGCAGTTGATCCTAGGCCTTGGAATCGGACCGCGGTTCCGGAAGCTCTTGTAGCCATTCAGCCTCGGACACCGGTCGCAGCGGTGAACTTTAACTCTGCCAAGCATTAAAGATGAGCCGTACATTGTAAATGCTGTGTACTACGCTTGCGCCCGTGGGTACCTTGAGATGTGCCCAGCTAGGCTCCACGATCGGGCTTTCAATGCCAGGCTCGTATACATCACATCTCACAAGCTGAATACTGGCTGGAAGCATCTTGAGTT